AGACAAAGACTAGGGAACCCTGAAAGATTTTGAGGCACAAGACGAGCATGGCCATTCTCAGCATGAAGAATGGGAGGGTTGGACATTGGGAGAGAGATAAAAGAGAATGAACATAGTACAGACTTGGGAGATGGGATTGCCAGGGCAGTGTGACTATTAGACATAGGTCTGAGGTCAAGGATGACTCAGTCAGTACTGGCCATCTGGCTGAGTGTAGCCTGTGGAAGAGGAACAGGCTTTTATGTTTAAGCAGCCCCTGCCCGCAGGTACTCTGTAGCAAGTAATAACCTGTTCAGGGAACACTTGGCCTTAAGATGAGGAGTGGAGTACAAAAGCTACACTCAGTAGATATCTGTGGAAAGAACAGGCCTTGGCTTCTCGCCTTCTAAAGAGACAGCTCCTGGCCCCTCCCCTGGCCATAAGCCAGTGGAGAAGCAACCACCCTTCTGTCTCAGCCTCCTGTCATGTGTTTGACCACACTAGAATCTGTCTGGCTGCAGGAAGCAAAGGTGGAACTGAAGGTATGCCAATTAGAGCGCAGGCTGCCCCAACAGCCCATCAGGGTGGGCCAGTGCTGCAGGTTGGAAGAGCCCCACCCAGCCATGTGGAGACCACCCTCATCCTCCTAGCCCTGCTGAGAGTGTGCTGTGTGTCAAGGCCTATTCTGGACACCATGGGGCAAGAACTGTATCTTTGTCTGCCAGGCATCTCAGTGCCTAGAGTGGGCCTGGCTTACAAACAGCTGTGTAATGTGGTAAGCCCTCAGCACCACCCAACAATAAAGACTGTCTTCCTTGTGAGACAAGTGACATCACCAGCCAAACTGGCTGATCAGCTGTGTGAGTGAGTACATCATATCCACGACCAGAGTCTGAAAGCAGAGAAGACAGCATGACAGCTAAGGAAGAAGGGAATTCGGGCAGACACCCAGGATCTCACCCTCTGAGTGTGGAATGTTAACCTGTCACACATCTTACATGTGATCAAAATATACTTGCCATGCTGACCAGGGCATGACAGGAGGTGGAACAGAGTGTGTCATGTGTAAACAGTAGACATGGCAGTGTGTTTGTATGGAGGGTTGGTGAAGGTCCTCATATTGTCTGTATCTGGATTCATTGTTCACATAACAGCCATTGAGATGCCCTTGGAGATGGGGTCTTATTATGTAGCCCAAGCTGGATTTGGATTTGCTGTGTAGCACCAGGCTGGCCTGGAACTCTCAGTCCCCCTACTTCTGCCTTCCAACTCCTGGGATTATAGGTGTATGTCACCATGTTTATCTACCCAATCCAAGCCTTGAGACTTTTGTAGCTGTGTCCTGGTTCAGAGATTTTACCCAGCATGAAAATACCATGAAAAGTGGAAATTACTCAGTACTATGACCATACCAGTTGATTATACTACTCAAGATGTTTATTTTATGTTGTAAAAGAAACTTTTATTTGCCTGTTTCAATAGTTGTCTTATGGCTTATTACCTCTGTCTGCTAACCTGGGCCTAGGCCTGGAACATTTTCAGCCTCGAGACTTACTGCTTAATAAGCTCACCCTTTCTTGTCTTACTGAGCTCTGGGCTGGCTTGTTCAACTCAGCTATTCTGGCTCAAACTCCTCTCCCAGCTAACTTATTTAATCTGGCTTCTCTCTCAGCCCCTGAAATTGTTCTGCTGGCCTCAAACTAACTCCAGCAATTTGCTCTAATCTTCTGGCTCCTTCTCATTCTCTGGTTCATTCTGTCTTCACCTATTCTAGCTTGTTCTCTCATTCAGCCTCTCTCTGTAAAACTCCCAGTAAAATTGCTTCCTTACCCTCATTCTATGTTGCTCTCTTAAGTAGCTTCCCTGTCCTCCCTGTTCTTGTGAGAATTGGGCATATCCTATTCTGTCAAATCTTTCTCTGAATCATTTCTTTTTCTCAATTAAACATCACTTAATTAAATATCACTTTCAAACATGAGTGCTTCTTTCTACAAACTGTCTTCACCTTCATTGTTTGGTATTAAAGGTGTGTACTACCACACCTGTACCAAACTTTTCTTTACCTGAAACTTTGCTCTATACCAGGCTGGCCTTCAACTCAGGTCTTGGCTCTGTCTCCTGGATTAATGCATGTTTGTATTCCATCTGGATCACACAGACCTAGAAGGTCTTTGGACTTGATCTCTTGCCAGAGCAGCCATGTTCTGAATTAAAATTCCCTCTACAACTTTTCCCCCTTTATGTTTAAGCTAAAAATTGTATACAGTTTAACTTTACAATAGAAACAGATATCAATCCCACAAATTTAACACTCCGAATGTTCTTATGAATGGATCTTCTGAGTGTTCTTATGAATGTCTAATGAATGGATCATTGCCATTGATGCAATGATCCTCCATAATTGCAGTTGTGATCATCTGATCTTCTGCAACAGTCCATTTCAGTATCAAGGTTTTCCAGTCTGCCAATCTGTTAAAATGTCTGTCCCTCCTCAGCTGGTCTGTTCATCTGTCTCCATGCAGGAAGGTCTGCTTTCTGCATCATCCGCATTGCTGTCTTTCTGCATCTCTTCCTTGATGATGTCTTTTTGGTTTGGTTTGGTTTGGTTTGGTTTGGTTTGGTTTGGTTTGGTTTGGTTTGGTTTGGTTTGGTTTTTGTTTTTCTGAGACCTGGTTTCTCTGTATAGTCTTGGTTGTCCTGGACTTGCTTTGTTGATCAGGCTGGTCTCTAACTCAAAGAGATCCACCTACCTCTGTCTCCCAGAGTGCTGGGATCACAGGCATGTGCCACCATGCCTGGCTGAGTCATGCCTTTCATTTGGAAGCTTCTCTTATACAGATTGCATCTTTATCAATGTTGATGCAAACCATAGTCCTTCATCACTTACGAAAATATAGGCAAAACCTCTTTCCCAATGTAACATATTCCCTGAGTTCCACCATTAGGGTTATTTTTATAAAACTTTGTTTGTTTCTCTTAGTTTTTCTTTTAGCCAGCCGTCACACAAATAATTGAGACTTTTTGTATAATTTTAACAAGCTTCCCAGCACAAGAACTGAACAGTTTTTAATCTTAACCCTCTAAGTTAGTTTGGTTTCCTCCCAGCATACATCCCAGAGGAACTTGCACATTCTGGCTTTTCCTCTTCCAGCTCCTTCTCCTAATGTCTCTTGGACTTATCAAAAGGCTAAATCCCCTACTTCCTCTTTTAACTCCTCCTGCCATGGCTGGCAGGGAGTCTAGCCCTCTTCTCTCCCTGCTCAGAAACTGACTGTAAGCTGCTTTATTGGCATATCAGGGGACAATGGGGGGAGCAGTGTTTACACAACATTGAGACAGGAGGTTCTCAGAACAAGGATTACAAGCAGATATGGGGAGTACTGAAATCAGCATTTGAATCACACAATAACCTGATGCCTGTATTCCATTCTGATGTTAAAACAAGTGTACAGGTGGATCTAATTCAGTACTTTTTTCTCACCCTTCGGTATCTTTCAGCTATTCCTATCTCCCCTTTCTGTTCATCAAGGTACAATTAGACCCTTATGAACCCACACACAAACTAGACATGTAGGCACTCTCATTCTATGCTCAGCCCCATGCCACTGAGCCGGCTGCACTCCAGCCAGCTCAATCATCAATGGGCTGTCTATCTTGATCCTCAATTTCATTAAGTACCACAGGTTCACAATTAAGCCTTTTTGTTCTCTTGGTTCCTCTGTCTCTTGTCTCTCAAGCCTTTGTATTATTATAGCTATTTTTTTTCTTGTTGTACAGATATTTTTTTCAAACTTTTGTAAGAGGAAAAAATATAAAGATTGCAATTGACAGTAGAGAAGGGCTTATTCCAGTGGTCATAATTGCAATGAGCACTGCAATGGTTTTTCAAGCAACGTTTCTATCTCCTTAACTCCTACCCTGTTCTCAAGGGATCTGAAATGTAGTTTCCCGATTTTAATGCTGGAAAAGTCTGTCTATATAATTAAAATGGTCTTTTTTGGTAACTTACTATGATTCACTGTCTTAGAGGCTCCTGTGTTGTTCCTTGCTCTGGGCTCAAAGATCCCACTGCTCCTAGGTCTTCCAAATCTCTCTGGGCATTCATCAAAACCCAGAGAACTCTATCTTCCTCTGGAAATGATCCCAGGCAAATTTCTCCTCTGTGGCTTTTTGTCAGATATTTCCTGTATTAAAGAAATGTTTGTATTCCAGCCAGATCACACAGACTTGGGTCTTTGGATGTGATCTCTTTTTAGAACAGCCATGTTCTGAACTAAAATTCCTCTACATTTTGTTGTATGATTTTTGTGTTAATTTAAAAGGAGGAATTGGGCTAGGAAGGTAACTCAGAGGTAGAACACTTGCCTGGGAAGCCCCAGTACCTGAAAGGGAAAAGAATAATCCCCAGGATTCACTGTACAGCCATTCTTAGAACATTGCCCACCCTTGAGGCTGATCTTTTATTGGCCCAATCTATGGAAAGAAGCTGTACCTGGGGCATGGAAGACCAAGTCCCATAAAAAAAAAAAAAAAAAAAAAAAAAAAAATGCCTCTGGGAGAAAGTAGAAGAAACAGATTACAGCAGGGGCCTATAAGAAATGAGAGCAGGGCAAGGACGGAGATAGTTGCTCCCCATTGCCTACTTTTCTGGAACTTTTAATGTTTTGAACTGTTTGACTGCTTCTAACTCACAGGATAATATGAAGAAAAGAGAAGCACAATACCTACACAATAAAGCAGCCCCTGGGCTCTGTTAGAAAGAAGCCCTCCACGGCCAGGCCTGTCTCAGTTCCTGGTCATCAACGTGGGTCCCTCTGAACCAGATTCCTTTTCCATAAGTGGGCAAGGACACTTCTGACCTCATATGGCTGGTACAGTCCAGTTACAACTGAGACAGCATATAAACCTGGGTGCCCAGAAAGGACTCATGATTTTCTGTTTTATCTATTCCCTCCTCACCCCACTATTTGAGTCTGCCCATTTAGGACTCCCCACCTTTGTGACTCTTAGTTTCTTTACAGAGAAAGCTACAGATGGCTCTCTGCAGAGTGAAGACTGGGCCCTCAACATGGAGATCTGTGACATCATCAACGAAACCGAAGAAGGGTAAGAGCTCTCAGTGGGAGGTGGGGGTGCAGGCTGTGGTAGCCAACTGTAACACAGTACACAACAGCACTGATTCATCCCTATATCCCACCAGATGATCCTTCCTAGGCCCCCAGTGTTGTAGCCACAAAGTCTAACCCTGCTGTGCAGTATACATACCCCATCCTAGACAGCAGCATGGCAGTTTAAACATCTTTGGACCATGTTCCAGTACAGTGCCTTCACAGGTGGATGAAAAGTTCAGAAATGTAAAGTTCAAAGACACAGTGTGAGCCAGTCTGTGGTGGCTCAGGCCTTTAGTCCCAGCACTCAGGAGACAGAAGCAGGTGGATCTCTTGAATCCAAGCCCCACCTAGTCTACATAGCAAGTTCCAGGAAAGCCAGGGCTACACAGAGAAACCCTTTTCACAGAAAGACAGTATGTGGCCAACTGGCCCCTAAGTGCTATGACCCACGCTTCTCTGAACAACAAGCCACGTGTCACATGGATCTGGAGGCCCAGCCTTGGTGCATTACCTCCCTCAGTCAAAGCTAGCCGGAGACTCACAGTGCCTTTCTGCATGCTGAGAGCTGGAGTCTTTGGACAGCTTTTCTCTGAGAGCAAGAAAACACTTTCACTTCCTTAAGATTAGAAGCCAGCAGGGCTGGAGATTGCACAGAGGGCAGTCAGTGAAGCAGAGCAGAGTTGTGGATCAGGTGCCTGCAGGAGACCAGGTATGGGGTCCTAGTGTTCCTTCAGAACACTGAACCCAGACAAAGCATATGCTATGGGAGAGGTGTTGGAGCCCTGTCTTCCTCTGCCCGATGCACACAGACCAAGTGTGTGATGGGACCATGGAAAAGTTTCTTACCTATCCAGAGCTCTGTTAAATCCTGCCAGAACTTGAGCCTAAGCCCTGAGTGGAGCAGAAAGTAGGATGAAGTAGAGTGTGTGGGCCATGGCAGTCAGGGAGTGCAACCAGATGAGGCCTCTGCTCTGGGAACTCAGAACATCCTCCCAGGATGTCCTCCCAGGATGTTCTGGGAACAAGTGTGAATTAGCCCAGAGGAGCAGGAGGCAGGAGTACAGCCTGAACTTCGGGGAGGCTGTGGGTATCTTAGGCTAGAAGAGGATGGTAACTCCAGGCCCCAAAGTCCTCCTCAGTTGCACTGTGTGGTTCACTCCCATATCTGCATCAGGACTCATATTGAGATTAAAGTACAAGTGGATAGATAGCAGGACCACGGGGTGGGGTGGGGTGGGGTGGGGGGAGGCAGACATGACTACTGAGCCTCTAGAAAGGCCTAGCAGCTTTACAGATGATATGTTGTAAGTCACTGCAGTATCTTTGGAGACAGTGTTCACTATCCACAGTGAACTTGGGAAGTGCTGTCCTCAGAGTTCATTGGCTATATTGCAGTTCATTTGAGCATTTTAAATGTTCCAGACACTGCACAAGGCATTGAGGAGCCAGCAGTAGGCAATGACAGGCATGACCCTTGGCCTCACCAATTTTATCTAAATTCTATGTCTTTGGTGGAATCATACCATTGCCATATACTTTATCTGTATGTTTGTGTAGTACATAGTCCACGTCCAGCGCCTTTTCTCCAGGCCACCCCATGAGAAGTGGGGTCCCTTTCAATTACTAAAGTAGTCCACAAGTCAGCACCTATGTCTGTCAGTTTTTCATAATTAGAACAATGCCCTTGAGATGATTTGCTTATAAAGAGAAATTTTTAGCTCACTTTTGACTTGGTTTGGTGTTTGTTTGTTTGTTTGTTTGTTTGTTTGTTTGTTTGTTTTTAGGGCAGGGCTCCCTGGCCTTAGTTCACAGTGGAGCTGAAGCAGTTGTTTTAATTTTGCCTCACAGTGTTAATGTTGCACATCATGAGGAGTATGTGATGAGCAACAACACTCACCTCATGGGCCAGAGAACAAAAGAGTGATAGGGGCCAGGGTTCCATGATATCCTTCAAAGTCACAACTCTATGACAAAAAGGTTCCAGCTACCCTACCTAGGCCCTGTCTCGGAGTTTCTGTAGTGACTCATCAGTGCCACTGTGAGAATGAAACCATTTCTTAAACACATGAGCTTCTGGGGGGCATTAAGGATCCGGATAGTACACCAGTGCCCACACCAGAGCTGAAGCCAGCTGCTGCTGGAACTGGCCAAGGACAGGCAGACAGCTGTCCGAGGTGCTCTGAGTACAGGTTGTTCTCACGCTTCTTGACGGGCTCCCGTGCCTGCCCTGCCTCTCCACTGTAGCACTGACCACCTACAAGTTTTGCCTCCAAACAGGATCCATTCTGGAGGCCTCTGCCTTCACTTCTGCTGAGGACCTACCAGGATTTCATACCGTCCTGTTGTAGCCCTTAAAGGTCAGCACTGCAGACAGACCCACTGCAGGAGCCCACGCTCTGCTGAGGCTGTTTAAAGAATGCTGCCTGCCCTCTAGGAGCCATCTTTTCTGCCTGGATAGCTTAGAGACCCATGCCAGGACACACTGGGGAGGAGAGCCCCTGGGCCTTCCCTTGAGGGGTTTGGAGGCAGGGAACAGGGTCCAGCAAAGGCCTTCAAGGCAGAGCAGCTCTGGCAATGCTGGGGGAGGAGGAGTCAGCAGCTGGGATAGGGAGAACCAGAGATCCCCAGGGTCTTTGTGGACACCTGCTGTATATAGGCACCCCAGGCTCCTCTACACTGTTACCTCTTCTCCATCCTTCCAAGGCAGCTTCTGCCCACCAAGCCCTGGCCCAAGCTTTCCCTGCACCTGAAGCACTGTTTCTGGCTGTCCACCCACTCATCCTCCTCTTCCTTCAGAGTTGGCTACTTCCTTGAGGGTCTTTTGGCCCCTACCCCATTCTCCCTTAAGACTGCGTCTTCCTTCAGTTGTCCCAGAACCCTGGAAGCGGTGAACGTGGCATGCGCATACATGTACACACATGCAGGCACACCGGTACTCAGTCAGACTGGCTGGAAGATGGACAGCAGACATGATGAAGCTGTGCCATTAGAACGCTCTGCCTGTGCTCATTTATTCTTAGCATCAGCACCCGGAAGGCCCTAGTAGCTGTAGGGTCCAGGAGAAATAAGCAAATTCTGGGGCTATCCTATTCCATGAGCTCTGTCTGCTATATTCAGCTGAGTTCTGGGAGTCTGTATTTTTGGCAAGCACTCGCACCTTGCCCAACATGACTCCATGACCTGAAGCCCAGGGTCTACCTGGTGCTTGGACTGTTGGGCTTTCCTCAGAAGGCTGTGCTGGGACAGCAGGATCCTGGTGTGATCAGAACCTGGGCACACAGGTAAGGCAGAGGGATGAGGGAAGAATCCATCCAGTCCAGCAGCTTTGCCGAGTCTCCTGAACTTGGACCCCGTGGCCTCCTGTCCTGGGAAAAAGGGTTCAATGCCTAAGCCCATCCTTCCTTTGTCCTTTTGGCCAGCCCTAAAGATGCCTTCCGAGCACTGAAGAAGCGAATCGTGGGGAATAAGAATTTCCATGAGGTCATGCTGGCCCTCACAGTAAGTGTCCTTCCTTTCTGTTACCTATCTGTCCACTCCTCCATGATTGCTTCCATGGCTGGACCATGGTCTGCTAAAAGCTGCTTCTTTTAGTTAGGTCCCATCCATGCTTAGGGTTCTCTTAGTGAATGAAGGCTAAGAAGGAAAGGACCATGGGCAAATCGTTTTCCCATCTACACTCTTGGTGGAGGTGAATGACAAAGTAAGGGAACTGGAAAGGAATTTCTAGTCTTGTCATGGGGAGTAGACACACTGGGGCCACTTCCCTCTGGAACTGCACCCTAAAAGATGGACATAAAACAAATACCAGTGTCTAAGAACAGTGTTGGCCTTAGCACTGAGCCAGGCCAGTGTGGGCCAAGCGTCAGGCCCTGTCCTCAGGATGACCTGGCTTGGGGGAAGGCAGGAAAACAGCTTATCCCAGCCCGCACCATGCTGGTGCTTAGATCCACATGGTCCTGCTACCCTGCAGAGCACAAGCAGCTCTTGCTGGGCCATGGGGAGAGCTCTGTGCTTGGACCTTGGGTCACAGTGCTACCTATCAATAGGGGAAGCTGAACTTCTGAGTCCTCCTGGAAAACCACTAAGCTTCTAGACCAGTGTTTCTCAACCAGTGGATTGCAATTCGTAACAGTAGCAAAATTACAGTTATGAAGTAGTAATGAAAATAGTTTTGTGTTTGGAGGTAACCACAACATGCGAAACTGTGTTTGTTTGTTTGTTTGTTTGTTTGTTTGTTTTGAGAAAGGGTCTTTTCTGTGTAGCCTTGGCTGTTCTAGATTTGCTTTGTAGACCAGGCTGGCCTTGAACTCACAGAAATCCACCTACCTCTGCCTCCCAAGTGCTGAGACTAAATATGTGTGCCACCACTGTCTGGCTAGAGGAAGTGTATTAAAGAGTCAAGCATTAAGAACATTAAGGACTACTGTACGATACCATGTGAACTAGAAAGCAGGGTTTAGGTTATAGCAGGCCCTGACCTAGTAAGAAGGGAGTCCTAGGGTCAGGTGGAAGGGGAGGAGGACCTCCCCTATCAGTGGACTAGGGGAGGACCATGGGAGGAGAAGAGGGAGGGAGAACAGGATTGGGAGGGGCCAAGGGAGGGGGCTACAGCTGGGGTACAAATTGAATAAATTGTAAAAAATAAAAATAATAAGGGAGTCCCGTCTGTCACATCATCCTTCGTGTCCCAGTTGCTTATGAGACAAGTCCTGAAATCCAGCACTGCTCCCTTTCCTGGGTCCTTCCCTTCTGGAAGCCTCCTCTCTGCTTGGCTTCCCTCTGGGATAAAAGAGGAGCCTCCCTAGAGTGGCAGGCCACTTCCTCTCTTCTGATGGATCACTCTCTTGGACATCTTGACTTACAGGTCTTGGAAACATGTGTTAAGAACTGCGGGCACCGCTTCCATGTGCTGGTGGCCAGCCAGGAGTTCGTAGAGTGTGTGCTGGTGAGGACCATTCTGCCGAAGAACAATCCGCCCACCACTGTGCATGACAAGGTGTTGACCCTCATCCAGGTGCGCTCTTTGACAGAGTGGGGTGGCTCAGTGACCTCCAGGGGTAGGAGACTGCAGGGCTGTTCTTCCACTGTCTGCTAGTGGACTGCCTATGTGTGCAGCAGGACTTACCACTGTGTACTGAGCCTTGTGCACAGAGTGACAGGACCAGGCAAAAGGAAGAAGAGCAGGGAAGCACTCTGTCCTTTGTCTAGGTGCCAGGGTGGGACAGGCTCACAGAAAAGAAGGTGAGCAGTGGTTACCGGCCATGTCCCTTTGTCCCCTCTCAGTCCTGGGCTGACGCGTTCCGCAGCTCGCCTGATTTGACAGGGGTTGTTGCTGTCTATGAGGACCTGCGAAGGAAGGGCCTGGAGTTCCCCATGACTGACCTGGACATGCTGTCACCCATCCACACACCCCAGAGGGTGAGGAGAATTTTGGGTGGGGCACGAGTTATCCTGGGAGAGCTCAATGGCTTTCTAGGAGGCCTCACTCACCCTATCTTTTGCCACCTAGACTGTGTTCAACTCAGAAACATCATCCGGACAGAACTCTGTGGGTTCCAACAACAGCCAGCGAGGAGACCTGAGCCAGCATGCCACCCCTCTGCCCACTCCAGCTGTTCTCCCGGGTGACTCACCCATCACACCAACTCCTGAGCAAGTAAACACACAAACCGAAGATGAAGTTTCCTTAACTTGTGGTTAGCTCTAGGGGGTTACCTGCTCCAGACTGGGTGGCTGTGATCTACATCTGGTCACTTGAGATGTAGTGCTGGACTGAGCTTGAGGCCTTCACAGACATTAGACCACCACCAGAGAAGTCTGGAGATTTAGCTGCCGAGTGTGCTGAAGGTAGAGATTCACAAACGTGATACAGATGAGAGAAGCTTCATTCCGAAGGGCTGTCTCCTGACCACTTGTGTGCGGTGCACAGTCTTAGCCCCCAACAAAGAGAAACTTCCATGTTACTTTATAGCAAGTTAGGAAATCATGCACCACAGCAAGCATGATTAGAGAAGGTTGACACACTGAGCAAGTAATTAAAGCCTACAAAACTGTAAAATTACCCTGTGGTCCAAAGCAATTATCCACCCTGCTTCTAATTTTTAACTAATTTTTCTAAAGTCTGTGTATTAAGACTGATTATTTTAGTGCTAGAAGGTTCTTGTTAAGTAAAATTGAGTATTTTTGTCTGACTTCATAGCCCCATGTGCCTCCTGAGGCAGGTTAAGATGCAGTAGTGTGGCGATGTAACTCCTAGGCTCCTTTGTGGTTAGATCCCCTTGCATTTGGATGGGGCAAGTTGGTGCTGAGCACCTTGTCCACTCACACCAAGAGTCATCTGCCTGCCACTGTGGGCTGTGCTGTTGGTCACCTTCAGTGGCTGTGGTCCTTGTCTCTGCACGCCTGTCTCTTCATCTTCGAGCTTCAGAACGGTGGCCGAGCCTGCCTGTTTAGTGCGTGGTGCTCACTAGTCAGTGTGCGGTAGCTGCTGTCACAGTCATGAATTCAGATTCTGAAGTTCATTTTCATTCAGTCACACAATTTAAAGCATACCAGTATTTCCCAAGATGTAGTCTTCTAGCCACTAGATTCATGAGCCATCCCATTATAAAAGGGTTCTTCAGCCAGATACATCTAGGAGGCCCTTCATATGTTTCTCAGAATTAAAAGTAGATACAGTGTCCATGAGGATTTAAAGTCCCTCAGGGTTCACAAAAGACACTACACAGAGACTCTCACACCCAGCATGTTTGAGGACACTGACAACCTTCATTGTTATGTGTCCCCAGGCTTGGAACCATGGCTCCCTTAGATCACTGGTACAAGTACTGGATCTAAGTTTCATGTTCGAGTGGGTAGGAGGCCTGGCACTTGTTTTTGGATGAGCCTGGCCCCTAAAGTAGACCAGAAACAAGACAGAATTCCAGTTCTCTTAAGGGATGGAAAGACACAGACAGAGCCCACTCTGTCCTCTCAGGCTTAAGGGGATTGCAGCCTACCTTCCTACTCCCTTGAGAGAACTGCCACTCCCTAGGGCCTCATTAATTGCCATCTTGGCCTCAAGAGATGCTGATACTCTTCCAACCACACTCACTGGTTTATTCCCCTCCGATTATCACACTTCTTTCAGCCTCCCCCATACCTGGCTCCTGGTTTGGAGATGGCAGCGGTTGGTAGCACCTCTGTGAGGGGCTATGTGGTGGGACAAAGCCTCAGCAGGCTCTTGAATACAGACTATCCCCAGGAATCAGGAGGGAAGTTGTGAGGAGGTTGTGGGGGGGGGGGGCAGTTCTTGGGCTACATGTCTATGGGAGCAGCATGGGCTCTAGACTCCGGCTTCTTTCCCCTTACAATGGTCCATTTCAGATCGGAAAGCTGCGCAGTGAGCTGGAGATGGTGAGCGGAAATGTGCGGGTGATGTCAGAAATGTTGACAGAGCTGGTGCCCACCCAGGTAGAGCCTGCAGACCTGGAGCTACTGCAGGTGAGCAAACAGCTTCCCTCCAGGTTCAGCCCCCACCCTTGACTCCATGTGCAGCCATACCATACCAGGGGAGACCCTGCCCACATTGCAATCTTTTGGTTTTGCTGGGAGCTCTGAGGCAAGAGAAAATATTACAGCCACGAACCTTAGATTTGCATCAGACAGGAATCCAGACCTTAATTCTGCTGCTTTCTGGCTTGAACAAAATAGCCCCTCATTTTCTCCATCTATATGCCTGCTTTGATACAAGTGGGCCAAGAGAATTAAATGAGATAGTACACGTGAACCATCTAGTCCTGCACCCAGTGCTGATGAGCATGAACTGCACTGAGAAGAGCTGGAAAGGATGGTTTTCACAGTATTTGAGGTAGCAAGCAGGAAGAGCAGAGCAATGCTGGTTTTGAGAGAAGTGGCTGTCTGGTCTTCAGGCAGCTGGGAAATGCTGGATTTTGCTCCTAGGTGTCATGTGATACTCACCTAATCCTGTCCTCCTATGGGAAGGGGTCTAGACAGCCTTCCTGTTGAGGACACTCAGGCAGGCAAGGAGAAAGCTGGAAACTGTCAAAGCCTAGGAGTCTCCAGAATACATGGAGGCACAGAAAGCTTTGTGTGTAGAATGCTCAGTGTGTTCTTTGTGCGTCGCTCTCCCACTACCTCTCCGATGGCACTTTTGAGGCCAGGTCTTTGTGCCCCTGTGACTTCTCAGAGATCATTATACTTGGGGTGGAGGTTAAATTAGGATTTTCTTAGATGGGTGGACTCTTTTGAATATGAGAACTAGATGAAGAAAGGGGGTTGACTAGGGGTTGTTGTTAGTTTTATATGTCCCAAGCCACGTCCATGTGGGTATGAGTAGTCTGGGATACTCAGAAGGCTGGAGCCAGCTGTCAAGGTGACACAGGGTCAGCACCCACATTCTGAGCACTCTGCGTGTGTCAAGCTCAGTGTAAGTCTCTGATATATATTCACTCATAGCCCTGACCACACCCATTCTTCAGATCAGGAAACTAAGGCAGAGTGAGACCTTGTAACATGACTAGGGTCATTGTGGTTGGTAGGTAGCAAAGCTGGGATTTGTGACTTAGAGCAATGACTTCAAGTTACGCACTTCTGTCCAGAGAGGTACATGAGGAAGCAGGAACTAATCATCAGTTATGCTTCATTATGGGAGGAAGTGAAGGGGAGCCCAGGCATGTTGAAAGTTACCCTGAGCAGATGAAGAAACCCCAAGAGGCCTGACCTAGGGGTGGGTAGAAAACAACATAACAGGTGCCAGGGGAAGACATGACCACGAGGACCAGTTGCCTGTAGACCAAAAGAAATTTATTCTATTTATTTTTGAGTCAAGGTCTCATGATGCAGTCAAGGCTGGTCTTGAACTTTCTCCATGCCCCTGCCTCAGCCTCTGACTGCTAGGGTTCCAGGTGCATAGCACCACACCCAACCTCTGACTAAATACAGTGTAGGATCCAGAAATAGAAAAAATATATATATTAGCAGAAAAAGTGGTAAAACGTTAATAAGTAGTTTAGTTAATACCGGTGTTATATCTTAGTTTTGACAAATGTCAAGATGGGTGAAGGCAAATAGGAACCCTCTGTGCCGTCCTTGCAGCTCTTCAATAAATCTGAAAAATTATTCCAAAAATAAGAAGTTTATCAAAAGAGAAAAAAGCCAGTCAATGAGAATAATGAGGCAAAAACTCAAAATCAGGATGTGGGGTAAAAGTCGGAATTCCCGCCTGTCCACACTCCCCCACCTTCATTCTCAGGCCTGTCACCGTCATCACCCTCCCCATCCTCCTTTGTTTTCCCTTTGTGTGCATCTGTGTGCATCTGTGTGGATGAGTGAGGGTATGTGAATACCACAGTGATACAGAAGCCAGAGAACAGCTCTAGGGGGTTGGGTCCCTTGACTCTGTTTGGGGCAGTGTCTCTCTTGTTTATGCTACTTCCCCACAAGTGCCAGACTAACTGGTCCAGGAGTCTGAGGTGTGTTCTTAAGTCAGCAACCATGGTGGCAGAAACTCGAGTGTGCAGTCTGCACACAGTGCCATTAAAGCAGCAGAATTACCAACACACTGAGTTCCTGTACTTTAAATGCTAGTGTGAAGCCTTACTCTCCTGGCTACTGAAGAAGCTGTGGGGCCCTTGAGGCCAGGAGCTCCAGAGCAGCCTGGCGACATAGTGAGAGCCCAGATCACAATTCAAGACAGTAATTATTCTAGCACCTGAGTGGTGATCTTAAAAACAGGCTTGTGGAACCCCAAAAACTCTTCTGTGGTACCGTGAAGATCCCTCTTACAGGACAGGCCCAGACCAACGCACCATCCATGAGGGGCAGCCTTGTCCTGCCTGTGGCCTCAGTGTCTCACTTCTCCCTGCAGGAGCTCAACCGCACCTGCCGTGCCATGCAGCAGCGGGTCCTGGAGCTCATCCCACGCATCTCCAATGAGCAGCTGACCGAGGAGCTACTCATGGTCAATGACAACCTCAACAATGTGTTTCTGCGCCACGAACGGTAGTCCTGCCCCACTGTCCCCTGCACCCTGGCCTTCACTTCTCCATAGTCATTTTCTCTGCACCTTCTTCAGGCACTAGCAGGCTAGCAGGCTAGCTGCCTGCCCATCACTGAGCTGCTTGGATAGTGGGGAATCATGAAAGAAGGCAGCAAAGTACTCTGCTTACCTGGGAACCAGGTTTATTTTCTGGCTACCTTTCATTCCTTGTGCCTTGTCTTTCCTTACCTGCTGTGTCGTTGGCAATCAGTTGAGAGGGGCTAGGCCCCTGAGGGCAACACTAGCTAGTTTCTCCTGTTTGTTAGTTTAGTAGAATGCAGGGCCTCTTTGCCATCTTGAGGTGCACTGTGCATACCCTAGCATCAAGCCTCTAATTCGCCAGTTTGTTCCAGTGCCAGCCACTGCTACTCAGTGTTTCAACCCAGGCATCACCTCAGCTGGCAGGCAAGTATCCATTAGACCAGAAGATGAATTCAGAAGTGATGGCCTTTACGCCAGGCCACAGCTCCAACAGGCTGCACTCTAACATCTTCCCCATCTACCTCGCTAGCCCTGGCCCTCAAGTAGTCAGGGTTAGAGATGAGTGGCCTTGGGCACACACACAGTGTAGATAACTGAGACAGGTGACAAAGCAGCGATCACCTCTGCTTGCTGAATGTCCCTTTCTTTTCTCTGTGTTCCTGCCAACTTGTTTCTTGCTGACCATTACAGGCCACGTCTATAACTGATTATGTAATTCCCACCCCTTGTACAAGTGAAAGAGAGGCTCTGCTGGTGAAGACACAGGAATAGCAAGGATGCACTGGATCTGTTAGTAGACTGGTATATCTCTTCACACTCGCAGTGACCTGTGATTTCAAACACTCCTGGGTGTCCTCTGGGGACTGTGCCATTCTGTCCTTTGTTTGTTTGTTTGTTTGTTTGTGTATTTGTTTGTTTTTGAGATAGGATTTTTCTACGTAGCCCTGGCTGTCCTGGAACTCACTCTGTAGACCAGGTTGCCTCGAACTCGGAGATCTGCCTGCCTCTGCCTCACAAGTGCTGGGATTAAAGGCATGTGCTACCACACCCAGTTTGTCGTCTGTCATTTTGAATGGGATATTTTCTGTCTTGTAGGTTTGAACGCTTCCGAACAGGCCAGACTGCCAAGGTAAGAGGCATCTATTCAGTGACTAGGTTGTGCTGAATTGATAGGAAGTGAGAGGGAAGTTGTCACCCTCTCCCTATGCCTTGCACAAGGAACTGGTGGTTTTGAGGCTGATAGGGAAGTCACCTTCTGACGTCTTACGCCACTGCCCCTTTAAGGGAAATAAGGCTTTGTTCTGGGAATGCCCTGAGCTAGTACCTCAGGGCATTCCCAGCCTCCTTAAGGGTATAGCCAAGTTGGAGCCCAAGTAGAGGAGATCTTCCCAGATCCCATTCAGAAATGTTGGGGCCTGGAAGCAGATAACTGCATCCAGAAACAATCATCTAGGTATGTCCCTTCACCTCAGGCCTCCAGTGATGCTGAGCTAGCTGCTGACCTGATTGACATGGGGCCTGACTCCACAGCCACAAGCAACCTCTCATCCCAACTGGCAGGAATGAGTAAGTATACTGGGGGCTCCAGCCAAGGATATGTCACAATATGTGAGTAGCCTCAAAGTTCTGGGGGTACCTTCCTGTACTCCCCAATAATAGAACATTCCAGATGTTACTTTGCAGGGATCCCAAGCCTTATCTTGCTGCAGGGTTGAGCAAAACTTGTAAGAATGGCCTGAGAGCACCAAGGCTCCTGAGCCACTTAGATCTCATAAATCCCACTGTGCTCTGACCATCCCTCTGAAATGATTCTCCCCCTCTACCCCACCTGAACAACCTGAGGGCATTCAGATAGTCTGCTGCTCAGCCTCAGTAACCAGTTGCTACTTGAAGAAGGAATGGGCCCTTCAAGGTTGGGAGGGTAGAGCAAGAGACTGCCAGGAAGCTTGCAACAGGGCTGGACAAGAAGGCGCTCTGTGTTTTGGTGGTGCTGGGTGTGGAACCCAGGACCCTGCACATGCTGACAAGTGTTCTGCCCCTGAGCTATACTCCCAGCTTTTGAGAAAATTAGATAGTTTAGGGTTTTTCAAAATTGGATAGTTTTGATCCAGGTTCTTGCTAAGTGCTTAGTAGCCTGTCTAGGTGGGCTTCAAACTTTATCCATTCTCCTGTCTCAGTCTCCTAAATGCCGAGATTACGGGTGGGTGCATCTGGCTGTATTCCTTATAAATGTAGCAGTCATCATACTGATCTTTTTGTTGTTATTGGGTTGTTGAGGTTTTTTTTTTTTTTTTCCTTTTGGTGTTTTGTTTTGTACAATGCTAGGGATTAAGCCTAAGACCTCAAGTATGCTAAGAAAGTATTCTACCGCTGAACTATATCCCAAACCTTTTAATTTTGAGAGGGGGCCTCACAACGTTTCCCAAGTTGTCCTTGAATATGCTTGTTAATCCAGGCTAGCCTCAGTCTACCCTGGAGCTAAGAATACAGGCCTGGACCATCAGGCCTGCTTGGGGTTGGGCTTAATGCAATTGACTGCCTCCTCCATGGCACACTCCAGGAATCCATTCACCAACCAAACTCTGAATAACTGACACAACACTTGTAGAAAGTCATGTATGATCACTGTCCTGCTGGTCAGCTTCTTTCAGTAGTTCTCAACCATCCTAATGATGGGACCCTTTAATACAGTTCCTCATGCTGTGGTGATTCCCAACCATAAAATTATTTTTGATGCTATTTCATAACTGTAATTTTCCTACTGTTATGAATCATAATATAAATGTCTGATATGCAGTCCCTTGTGTAAAGCTTGTTCGATCCCCAAAGGGGTCTCAACCGACAGGTTGAGAACCACTGCTCTTGCAGCTGTCATAGGCAGCATTTTTCCTGCTCTCTGATCCTCACCAGAGCTGGAGGAAGTGATTGTGGTATCACCTTAGAGATGAGCACACTCGGCAGGAAGGAAGTCCTTTCTCCTGGCCTGCAGGCAGCAGGCAGCTTCCCATCCATGTCCCACCACCTAACCCCGATGCTTTTCCCACATACAGCCCTAGACCAGAAGGGACATGGGAACAGCAGGTGGATCTCTCACCTGCCCTTCTGTCTCAACAGAGCTTGGCTCCCGCAGTGTGAGAGCTGGCCTGCAGTCTCTAGAGACCTCGGGTCACCTAGAAGACGACTTTGACATGTTTGCTCTGACTCGGGGCAGCTCGTTGGCTGACCAACGGAAAGGGTGAGTTACCTGTTCCAGGCTGCAAAGGGAGCTCCCAGATGGTGAGAGCATGTCTTGGGATCCCTGAATCTGGATTGGAGGTGGCAGGCAAGAAAAAAGATACACAGTCCCTAAGTTCAGTCCAGCATGGCCTCGAGAGCACTGTGATCCAGGGACAGGAAAGCATGGGCATGGAAGAAACGCCAGCATCTGATCAGAACCAGGACCAAGGCTCCAAGAGGCTGGCTATAAGCCACAGGACAAGCCAATAGCATTTGGCAGGGCCAGGTTGGGAGCCTCTGGCCACTTGTCCAAAACATTGTGTTTGGCTAGCCTGCCATCTTATGTACTTTGTAGCCAGTGTCAAGCTCCCAGGGGGAAGGAAGGCCCCTAAGAAAGTCTTAGTGCCTTCCAGGTCTTGGCTGTTGTCCCATAGCCACCCTTCATCCACAGAGGAGACTCTGGCTCCACTGGGGTATGCCCTTCCCTGTAGCTGCCCATTTTCAGAGAGGTGCTCTCATCGGTCAGCGGGTTTCCACTCCCTGCTGTGGCTGATCGCATACTGGCTCCACATTGGCTGGTCTAAGAAAATAGCCTAGCTAATATTTTCTTCATCCCTTTGCTTATGACCCTGTTGGCTGAGCTCTGGGCAGCTAAGGTTCTTACAGCCAAGAAAAATCGAAGATTAAGGAAGCCTCTTAGCTGCTCCCACTTGGCTCCATAGTAGCTATTCTGTCTTTGGGAACTTTGTCATTGGACAGCAGACACTGGCCAGAAAGGATCCCCTGGTCACACTGCAGATCCAGGTATAATCTGACAATCTGCAGCCAGGCAGGTCCATACTGAGCTGTAAAACACGTCTTCATCCTAAGCAGTCTGTGTTCCCTAATCCAGAGACCCTGTGACTAGCAGCTTACAATAAGCTATGGAGTTAAGGATGCTGCTGAGGCTGCAATGCAATGAAAGTTAATGAATCTACTGGGACCTGCACTCAGGAGGGTGGCCTTTGCACATAGGCCCCAGTGTACAAAACAATGAGGCACCCTGGAGAGCATCTAATGTTGACCTGGTCTGCCAGCGTGGCTTGGGTGTACTGTTGCATCATGCAACCTCCACAGGGAACATACACATGCAACCTGCCCTTCGGGGCATGCAGTCTTCATGTAGTAGTGTGCACGGCCATTGTTGTGTGGAGGGGCAAGTAGTTCTTCAGAGGGCTCAAGGCCAGACAGGGGTTTAGGGATTGTTTCAGGTTCTAGGAACAGAATATGCAAAGGCTCAGAGGCAAGGTGGACGAGCTGAGCTCTGGCCCTTCACAGGGCACATGTTTGAGTAAGGGAGCAGAGGCTGAGAGATCACACAAAAGTTCTTCCTAATATTGGCACAGGGGACAGGGGAAGGGCTTCCTAGCACATTTGCATGTCTGAAGCTCTCTTTGGCGAGCCTAGCCATCCTGCACCACCACACTCTGCCTTTGGTTTTCCTGTACCCCTCACTATGCATTGGTCCCCACCTTACAGAATGCACCCACAGAGACAGGACTGGGCCCTAGCTCTGAGGTCCTTGTTCCTTTGTTCTTGTGCCTGGCTAGCCTACCTTTGTGTTGTGATAGATCCTCCCATTCTGGTCACCTGGATGACCTTTTCTGCCCATTAGTTTCCTTGCCCTCCCAGCCTCCCCATCCCATGCCAGCCTGCAGCTGGCTCTGCCGGACCTCACAGGAAAGCCAGCTTCTTGTCAATACCCCTGTTTTCATTCTAGTTGCTACCATATCCAATACCACAGCTTCTTCTGACCAGGGCCTCCCACTTGGTATTCAAAGGAAGATAGTGGTGGCCTGGGCATCAAGGGTCAGGAGGCACCTACATTCTATCCTCCCTGCTATCCTTAGAAGCCAGCTGTCCTTCCTCAGTGCTATCTCTTCAGAAGCACTTAGACAAGTGTCCCAAGTGCCCTCAGACCTAGCCCTGACCAGCCACCAACAGGAACTACCTGGGTAGAGACTCCCTTCTTCCTACCCAGGCATGGGATGGCCAACCCCTGGCCCAAGGTCTGTAGCCCACAAAGATTATGTTGGGCTTTCCAGAGGAACACATGATAGCTGAGTTTCTACTTCAAGACTGAGAACATGGATGTGGTGAGCAGGAGTAATTAGGGAAAGAGGTGTAGTCTCTTGATTTTGGGTGCCTTCTTGCTGCCTCTACTGGATCAGACCTAGCTAAAGATGCTGAGCCTCACCGTGGCTCCAAGGTGGCTCTATCACAGCCCTGCAGATAACACCATCCTGCTGTTCATATGATCATGTGGCCAAGGGAACCAGCCAGTGCTGTTCCTGAAAGGTGGGCCTCCTAGGAAGGGACTGACAGCAGGGTCCCTGGAATGGCTGCCTGGGAGTTGGGGCTATTATTCAAAGAGCCTCCTAACAACATTGTGCAATGTTGTTAGGACATCCCTATTCCTGAAGTCCTTGGCTTTAGCCGAGTAACAGGGTCCCACCGGCCACAGGAGAGGAACGCCTCTCCCCACTCTTGATAATGCCTATCTTCCCCTTGAGATAGGAACCCTGTGGCTGCCTTCATCACCTCCAGGCTCCGCTGAGTAGGACTGAGGTCTGGCCCCCTCTCTGCTGGCCACTCAATTAGAACATGGGTCCTCCCTCCCCCAAGACATCTCCACTGCAGGAGTAGGCAGAGATGCCCAGCCTCCTTCTAAGTTCCTTGAGGCTGTGCTCAGTCACACCACACACTCATTCCCTGTCCTCACCTTCTAGTAGCCAAGTACCAACCCAACCCCTCCCAGTCCTGGCCTTCCACCTGCCTGGCTAGCTGGCCCTCCTTTGGGGACATGTAAAAGAGCTGTGACCAGTCCACCAGAGAGGTAGGGAGTGTCTTCCTAATGGTGAGCCAATGTCAGAGGAGCCCACAGCAGCTTCCACACCCATTTTGGCAGTAGAAGGGACTCCTCTATTCAAATGCCTCCTTACACAGAACCACAGTTGATGGAACTGCTCCAAAAGGAAACTGTAAAAATTATCCATAAGCATGGGTGTCGTGATCTACTTCCTAGTCCCTCAACTTGGCCCAGTGTGATCACAGCCATGTGTGATCTTGTTTCTCGTCTTTGGTCACACATGCTGTTCCTAGATGCTTTGTTGATGCATGTCATTATGGGGCACATATCTGAGTATAATCCCCGACAACAGAAAATGGAGGCTCTTCTTCCTGTCCCAGGCTTGCAGAGGAAGAACCTTGCTCAGGCCAGGCCATGCTGAGACCTGAGCCATTTCTGCCCAGGCCAACCCAAGGCCAGCTCACCCGACTCCCTCAATCCTCGTGTTGCCTGTCAGGCCTGGTGTGACCAGGCAGCATCTAATGTCATGCTGCTGTGTATTTCAGGGTCAAATATGAAGCCCCCCAAACCACAGATGGCCTGGCTGGGGCCCTGGATGCCCGGCAGCAGAGCACTGGAGCGGTAAGCAGAGGAGTCCTGTTTCACCCAGAGCCTTCCAAAAAGAAGGCACTATGGGTCTACCATGAGCCCAGTACTGGCTTGGCACAGCCCTTTCCCTTTGTGGCTAATGTGATTATCCCCAGTTGAGAGCCAAGGCACTCAGCCAGCAAAGATTCAGACACAATCCTGCTTTCAGGAACTGGTGTCCAGTGTGGTCCTGGGTTCACATCCCACTTCATCACCTGCCAGCTGTGGGTCATCAAGCAAATTAACCTACAAGCCCTCAGTTTCATCTTCTTTACCCAGAACTTTTCACAGCAGTAGAAGTATTATGAGAGGGCAGGACTCTCACTGTTCTCCATCACTGCCTCTCTGACACCATTCACTAACAGGAGCATCGCCGGAGGGGAGTAAAATGGAAACCCTAGAACAACAGTCAGAATTCCCAGGCATTCACTTAACTTGTTTAAGTCCAGTTAATTCCTAGACTGTGTGTTGAGCGGCAGCCACATGTCCAGAACTGAGCACTCTGTGGCTATTTTCCCCAGTGACAAGCTCTCCAAAAATAATCTATAGTGAGGCCAGTCACTCAGGAAGACAGCTAGAAACAGCATACCCTACTCAGGTGCTGGAGGAGGGCAAGAAGGTCACAGAGGAGGAGAACAAGTGTGGTAGATGGACTCTGAGGCCAAGTGGGCCAGGCAAGTGGAAGAAGAGGTCTAAGAGGTGGGTAGGGCTGTGGACACTGTCATAGTTGACGTAGAAGCCATTTGAAAGCCTTGAGCACAGAGGAACCTCACTCAACTTCCGGAAGGAAGCCAACTCCATTAAGAGGTCCTGCTTGCATGGGGTAGGGGCGGTGACTCACAGGAACTCTCCATCTGCACTCCTGTGCCTCCTAGCTCTTAGCTTGGAGTCCCTTTCAGAGCAGAGCAGAGCACTGGGGCAAACAGACTTCATGGAGTCCAAGGGCCTCTATTGGGTGCTTCAGAGCACACCTGCACCAGGGCTTGGTGCCTCTGCATACTTTTGAGCTGTCACTTTTTGAGCCTGTGCTCTGTGTTTGGCCCTGTGCTAAGCCCTCATGTTCCCCTCGTGGGAGCCACCACAGTCCACTTCTGCTGCCACCCAGGGATGAAGGCATCCTCCCAGGACAAACAGCAACCAAGAGGACGGCCAGTGTTGACTTTCAGGCTCCCACAGCACCTTGCAGTAGCCCCCAGTAGGAAATACTTGCATGGCACTCACTGATAAGCATGGCACTTTCTCCCTACCCTCTATTTGGGAAGCCACTTGTTGGATATGATTTTTGAAAACCAAGCTGACACTCAGTCCCAAGGGCTTAAGTCTGACTACAGGCAAGGCCACATTAGCCCACTGACTACCTAGATGTGATTGCAAGATCAAATCCAAACTGGACCTGGTGGGCAGTGCCTTTGTCCAAGGATCAGCAGAACTCATTTGTGTCATGTACACAATGGCCCTTGTTACACCAAGAGCCAGGTTCTCTTCCTTTACTCCCTGGTGCAACAGTGGGCTAGGCCTACACTGGTCTGGGGAGAGTGGACAAAGGAGGTCAGTACATCATGGGCAAGAGCACCTCCACCACTCACCTGCTCTAGGACCTAGAAAGCGTCCTCTTTTGCTTCTGGTAACTATGAAGCCAGAGGACAAAGCAGCTCTTCTGAAACCTCGGTTTCAGAAGCTCTTGGCAGTCACCAGGCTGTCTGACAGCTGCTGCTCTTCAGCTTAGAGTGTACCCTTAGAGGACACGGGCCACCCTTTGGAGTCCCATAGGAATAGGAGTGTTTTGTTTGAGTTTGCTCTCCACATTGCCCCAGCCTGGCAGCTCTGAGCTCCTACCAGGGTTCTCCCATAGTAAGGTACCGTGGGTAGCTTAGGTGATAAGCTGGGACTCTAAACTGGTTTGGTCAGAGATTCTAGCTTCCCCTTTGCTCAAAAGCTGCCAAACAGAAACTTAGAGTTCCCAGCCTTCCTGTATGCAGTCTCTCTGCTGGCTTTGCCTTCTCCTGACAGCACTCCAGATGGTGGCCCTGCTGTCAGGTGAGGAAGACAAGGGCAAAAATAGTACTTGAACTTGTCTTATGCACATACTTTTATTAGATGCCAGGAGTCACTCCAAGAACAAAGCAGAACCTGTCTATGCTCATGATCTCCAGCCAGATTGTCACTGTGGGAACTGTTACAGAGGAGGCTTTGAGTCCCTGGCTCCTTTTAGGAGCCCATGTGTTTGGGCCCAGAATCAAATGTCCCATCTAGAAAGCTGCCCCTGTGACCACCAGCCTAGCCTTTCTGGAACACTTAGCACTTGCCTCCTCTTGGATCCTACTGTTTCTAACTGAGGCTGCCAAGCTACTGGGAGACAGAATCTCTCTGGCTTTGCTCTGAGCAGCTGTGACCAGGCTTGTCCTTGTCCTGGACCAAGGCATAAAACCCTTCTCTTAAGGCATAAAACTGCCCTATACTTCCCACTGTTGGACCAGATGTCCATCCTCTCCATGTGGGGAATGGCTCCCATGAACCCCTTGTCCTGTGCCAGTTGCTGGGAGCAAATTTCCTGCTTATTCTTCTGGATTTGAATTTTTTCACCTATAGCCTGGGACCACTAGTAGAGCGGTCCTAGGCAGCTGGAAGAGATAACCCCAGGAAGTGTAGCACAGCAGGAAGCAAAAGAAACCCAGATCAGGGTGGATGAGTGACTTTCAAGAACCATTCAGCTTTTTTCTTGTCATCCAGACCACTGCCCCTATCTGCCTCACTGCTACCTTCCTTCCAGATCCCGGCCACCCAAGCCCGTATCATGGAGGACATTGAGCAGTGGCTGTCCACAGATGTGGTAAGTTGCCTACCAAGCAGGGATCTATTTGTCTTGTAAAGTGGCCTGATGAAGAAAGGCAAGTATAAATATCTTCACCTAGTCACTCACCATCCTCTCCCAGGCAACAGCCTCTCTGTCTCAGATCACACTCCCAGCATAAGGTCACCATGTGTGACAGCCATCATTTGGGAGTAGTAAACTGTCCCCTCAATAGCCCCCAGATACCTAAAGCCACTCAGAGGGAGGCATCATCATTGTCTCATTTCATATCAAAAAAGCCGGTAACTTAGGATAATCATGCTAAAATCTGTACACCTAAAGAAGCTAAGCAAGAAGAAGGACCCTGGGTAGGATGCTCAATCCTTACTGAGAAAGGCAGACAGGATAGACATTAGAAGAGGATGAAAACAAGGAACAAGATAGGAGCCTACCACAGAGGGCCTCTGAAAGACTCTACCCAGCAGGGTATCAAAGCAGATGCTGAGACTCATAGCCAAACTTTGGGAAATGTGCAGGGAATCTTATGGAAGAAGGAGGAAATAGAAAGGCCTGGAGGGGATTGGAGAGCAACAAAGCCAAAAAATCTGAGTGCAGGGGTCTTTTCTGAGACTGATACTCCAACCAAGGACCATGCGTGGAGATAACCTAGAACCCCTGCTCAGATGTAGCCCATGGCAGCTCAGTCTCCAAGTGGCTACCCTAGTAAGGGGAACAGGGGCTGTCTCTGATATGAACTCAGTGGCTGGCTCTTTGATCACATCCCCCTGAGGTGGGGGCAGCCTTACCAGGCCACAGAGGAAGACAATGCAGACAGTCCTGATGAGAACTGATAGGCTAGTGTCAGATGGAAGGTGAGGAGGACCTCCCCTATCAGTATACTGGGGAAGGGGCATGGGAGGAGAAGAGGGAGGGACCCAGCTCATGGCTAGCACTTTCTAAAGGGACATGACCAAAAGACAGAAATCCTGAACCATCCCACCAGCCCCAAGCCCTGCTACTTGTAAAAAGCAGAAGTAGGAGGTGTCAGAATCAGTTCTGGCATCACCGCAGTGGACACCAAAGACCCAGTGAGAGCTTGGGCACTTCTGTTTCTAAAGGGCCTACTTACTGAGGCAGAAGTCTCATCCACCTCCATGCCCCACATGTTCAGGTGCTTAACAGGTTATCGATTTACCTCCAGCCAGACCTGAGCACAGCTTTAGCCCTAACAGCCCCAGCGTATGGGTGTCAGCCTTCCATCATGGAAGTAGATAGTCCCCATCTCTGGACCCTGGAGGAAAGGAATGTGCTGTTGGGCACCTTAGTTTGACATTCTGTGCTTAGCTTTCAACATCCACCATCTTAGGCTATGCTACAGTGTTTCTTCTTCTTTCTTTCGTTTTTTTTTGTTTGTTTGTTTGTTTGTTTGTTTTGTTTTTTTGTTTTTTTTTTGTTTTTTTTTTTGTTTTTTTTTTTTGAGACAGGGTCTCTCTATGTAGTACTGGCTGTCCTGGACTAACCCTCTGAAAATCTAAGCAAATCCCAAATTAAATCATATGCTTCCTTCCTTAGGTTGTCTGGTCATGGTGTCCCTCCATAGCAATAGAACAGTACCTAGGATAGGCACACTGGGTGGCAAGTCTCAATTTAATATACAAGTTCAGGGAGTTAAAATAGATTTGGTCATAAGTTTGTTGGATTGTGTTGCAATAAAATGAGTGTTGGACTAAATAATGTTTATTATTTGTGTTACGATTATCACGGTGGCATTATTTAACCTGCTGTTAACCTGGGCACTGGGCCCTGACTGGTCCTGCACTTTTGTTTTGGTTTTGTTTGTTTGTTTGTTTGTTTGTTTTGTGAGACAGGGTCTCTCTATGTAGTACTGGCTATCCTGGAATTTGCTATGTAGACCAGGCTGTCCTTGAACTCACAGAGATCCTCCTGCCTCTGCCTCCCAAGTACGGGGATTAAAGGTGTGTGCCACCATACCCAGCAGTCCTCCCTGTTTCTTGGCATTTAACTTTGAAAAAAGATGTTTTAAGATTTCTTTATCTATCTGCATGGGCGTGTTTATGTTACCGCATGCATCCCTGGTACCTGAAGAGGCCGAAAGATGGCATCGGTTCTCCTGGAACTAGAGTTACAATTGGTTGGGAACTGCCGTATGGGACGGAACCTGGGTCCTTTGCGACAGCAACAAGTGCTCTTAACCACTGAGCTGTGTCTCCAGCCCCACCTAATTATGTTTGTGTGTGTATGTGTGCGCTCGCCCGTGTGCTCGCGGGCACACGCACACGCTCCCTCCCCAACCCACCCCCCACCCCCCACCCCCGCACGCACAGCCCACAGAGACCAAAAGAGGACATTGGGTCCTCTGACTCTGCTATTATAGGCTCTTATGAGTTGTCTGTATGTGTGCTAGGAAATGAACCTTGGTCCTCTGTGAGAACAGTGTGAGCTCGTAACTTCTAAGCCAGGTCTTCAACTCCAGCCTCCCTGTTTCAAAGGAGAAAAAAGTCATGGCTCAGAGAAATTGGAACACCTGCGGCCCTTGAAGCTCAGGAGGGGTTGAACCAAAGCCTATGTCCTGACACCAGGATCAGCTTAAGCACAACACCAACACTGGTCCTGGTTCCAAGGGCCTGTCCTTGCCCGCCCCACCGTGTAGCCAGCTGCAAATGCTCCCAGCAGTAATAACCTTTATCTCCTTCCCTCTGCATTCTCAGGGCAACAGTGCTGAGGAGCCCTCTGGTGTCACCAGTGAAGGTAACAGCACCCCATCTACCTAAGCCTCCCTGAAAGTCATAGTTCTGCGCCTCTCCCCTCCCTTAGCTCTAGCCTACAAGCCTACTCTTTCCCCTAGAATTTGACAAATTCCTGGAAGAACGAGCCAAAGCTGCCGATCGACTGCCCAACCTGGCCAGCCCTTCAGCTGAGGGACCCCGGAGACCTTCTGGCACAGCCCCTCGGAGGAAGACCCAGGAGAAGGACGATGACATGCTGTTTGCCTTATGAATGCAGGATCTGGCATCCTGTAGCCCAGGGCCTGGCACTATCATATCCACTGGGGCCCTTCCCTCCCTTGGTGTTACTGCTGCTTGGGGGTGTTTTGTTACCCCACTTCTCTCCTCCTGGAGCCTGGGCGGCAGTGGGATGAACTAGGGAAACAGGTCAGCCCTGCCCTGGGATCCTGACTGGTCCTGCCTCCTTCTCCATCCTGCTATTATGACTTTGCTGAGACCTGGGGCCCCAGACAAGCCGACCTGTGTGACCTGATTGACCTGGTGTGAGGCTGCTTTCATGAAACTCCTCTGGTCCCATCCCCAGAGAAGCCCACAGGAGCCCCCCAAAATCCACACTACCAGTCTGGGCAATAGGGGAGACATTACCACAGCCTTGCCCATCCCTTTCCCCTGCAGAGTGGGACCTGACGAAGGGGTGGGCTGTGGTGGTCCTGGCTGAGCTGTCCACTGTCCCGGTACGAAGATGCACCCAGTGAGGAATGACCTCACCAGCCCAGGTGTTAAGATGGGGATTCTGGGTACACAGAGCCCCCCAGTTCCTCCACTGCCTCTCCCCCATTCTAGCTCTGTTCCTCCAGCAGGGCTCCACCCACCTGGGGCTCACCTGTTGATTGGTCCTCAAGTAGAGGGGGAGGTGCCTTTTGTATCCCTAAATAAAGTACAAAACCACCTGCCAGCATGACCTGCTCTGGCAGGAAGCAATTTGACCTCCTGGGGGCCAAGGCCTGCTTTGAGCTAGAGGCCATCTGATACTACTCACAGCACAGCAGGGCAGGTCGCACAGCCATGCTCATAGATACTACAGTCGTGGCTTCGCCACACAAGTCCAACTTCTGCTCTGCACAGGAGAGCCATCGGCCTGTTTGGGCTCCTGCACACACCGCTAGCCCTAGCAGCCGGGTTCTGTCCACCCTACAACAGTGGCACATTGCTCAAGAGAGGGAGCCTAGTATCGGTGGGTAGTGTTGACATGCTGGGGCAGCCAGCCACCCGGAGGGTGCTGGTGGCAGCTGTGGCCCAGGCGTTCCACAGTCTGCACTGCATGCTGCTGACTAGAACTCTCGGCTGCCTTGGCACACAGCCCCGGGCACTGCGCCATGAAAATCAGGTGTGGGCACCCAGAGCTCCCCTGGTTCAACACAGCCCTCAAGAGGCCTTGTTCCTAGCTGTAGGCACCTGCTGGCCCAGCCTTTAGCAGCAAGAAAAGGGCAGAAAACTAGACACTGTCTTCTCCAAAGTCAGAAAGCAGTGGTAGGCACACAGGATCTGGTGTCTGCACTCTGAAACCTGGCCCAGCCCTCTAGGGACAACCTGCATGTCCCCTCTAGGGACAACTCAGGGGAAGGGCTGAACACATATCCACCCTTGGTCTGCTCCCACAGCATGTATGGTGTGGCCACCTTTACAGGTGGCTAAGCAGGGCCTTGTCTGACTAACAAGTCATGGAGGAGAGGGACCCCAGCCCACTTTTCTACCTACTTTGTTCTTTCCATAGCTGAAGCCCTTTAGGGGAACTGACTGTAATGATCAAAGGCAGGGCTGCTGCTTTCAGGGTCCGACGTCTGGGTCATAGGTGTGAGGCAGATGCCATGCTCAGTGCTGCGGATGCATACGGGGGTGCGAAGGATGTGCCTGCCCGGGGACTGGTAAAAGGGAAGGGGCAGGAAAGAACTGGGAGCTGGGATTGGTCAATCGGTTCTCAGACTTCCTCCAAGACAGGGAATTGCTCCAGGGGCTCTCCCTGTGGAGACAAGGCAGGCAGCAGAAGGGAGCGAGGGGAAGGCTGCCAGGAAACCAGTCATTGCATGCAGACCTTAGTTAACAGCAGCATGGCTTGGAGCACTGCTGCTCTGGTTCCTCAGCTCAGTCTGCCTCTTCTTCCCAGCTCCCAGGACAACTGCTGGAGACTTAGCGGGTAGCACCAGTCCCTCCTCCCTGCCTCCAATGCCCCTTGCAAAGATGGTCACAATTGACTGGATCCCAGCAATGGGAACGAAGCAGAGGCTGACCATGAGTCCTGGTTCTAGTTCTGCCCGGGCCAGCACTTCATGAAACCCCTGCCTTCCAAGATAGCTAAAAGTTTGTCCTGCTCCAATTTGCGTGGGCTTGGCGTCAAGACCAGTGACCTGTTGTTTCCCATTGTAACCACAAGATGGCAGCAGTGCTGCATGCATGGGAGCTCTTTATGTGTACACACATACCCTCCCACCTCCCCACCCTCACTTCTCTGACAGGTGAAACAAGGAATTGGAATCTAAAGGACCTGAATTCCCTCCTATAAAACCCAGCTTGATTTCCAAAAGCTTCGGCTCTGACACTACCTGACGCTTGGGCTGTAGAGAAGGCACACCAGAGCCAGCAATAGACTGTGAGGCTATGGATTGGTAGAGCCCGTTTCACGACGCTCCGGATAGAGCCTGGTGTGCACTCTAATGGCTCCTCTGTCCAAGTGTATGTCTAGCTGTTTCTGCGTGCAGGAAGTCAGGAGGGGCACCCTGGCAGCACAGTTCTCAGATCCCAGCTTCTCATGCTGTTCCTTTCTCCAGTGATGAGAGGTAGCCCTGATGTACATTTTTGGGTTGGTTGTTTTGGTTTGCTGGGTTTTTTGTTTGTTTTCAAAGTAGGGTTTCTCTGTATAGCCCTCGTTGTCCTGGAACTCACTGTAGACCAGGCTGGCCTCTAACTCAGTGACCCACCTATCCCTGCCTCCTTAGTGCAGGGATTAAAGGCGTGCACCACCATTGCCCCAGCTTATTTTGGTTTTTCGAGCAAGCAAACTTTCTAACCTTCCTCCTCAAACTCTTGAGTGTTGTGGTCGCAAGCATCATCCCCCATGCCTAGCTTGGTCCACTCTTACTGCTTCTTTCTCAGTCCCATCACCACCAATCTGTTACTCTCCCTACCTGATGTCCTCCAGGCCATCCTCCGCTGGACCTCATGACTCTGTCCAAACACCAGCCTTCCCTCAAGCTCTTGAACCCTCTCTGGACCACTGCAGTCCCCTCACTATCAGTGACAATCTTGCCACTCATCTCACAGCTTTGGGACAGGAAGAGAGAGTGGGGACAGGGCAGACTTCACTATGGGCAGATGGACAGAGTGACATCCACATCCCACTGTCTGGGCAAACTCCACATCTGAGCAGTCCTGGGTGTGTGCCTGGAGGAGGCCTCCTCACCTCCAGCATCAGAAGGCTCCATGGTCCATACAGTTTCTCTGCATGGTTCCCAGCAATAGGCCTCAGTTGGCTGAATAACACACATCTGTTCACACTGGAAACTGGAAAGTCTAAGATCCAGGTGTGGCAGAAATGTTCTCCTTGGTTTGCTGATTGATATTGATATTGTATCTTCACCCTGACCTCCTCCTCTTAGAAAGGCATCAGTTATATTGGATTAGCCCTTCATCCAATGAAGACATTGCACTTCATTCACCTCTTTAGAATTGCTGTCTCCAAATACACACTGTGAGGTCCTGAGGACTTCAACACATACATTTGGAAGGATAAATTCTGCCCATGGAGATCACACACAGATTCCTCCCACTCTACAGAGCAGTGACCTCAATTTCTGCCCTCGTGGAGATTTGAGATGACTAATAGATCATACTTAACCCAGCTCCAGAGCCATGGGAACCCAAGAGCCAGCAATGAGGCCAAAGCAAAACAGGAACAAGAGAAAAAAAGGACCCAGGTCCAGAGAGTCTAGCTGGGCTTCCACCTGCTCCTAGGGCTGCCATGTAAAAGTAGCACCCAGCAGTCAACAGGCAGCCTTCACTGGTACCCTTGGACCCCATTCTCCCCTCCCTTGCTTAGCCAGTCCGCACTCTGCCCCTGCCAGAGGCCACCCTGCATCACAGTCCCCACAGCTGTGTGTGTGGCAAAGGACAAGGTTCAATTTCCAGCACCCATATGCTAACTTATAACTATCTCTAGCTCCAGTTCCACTGAATCTGGAGCTTTCTTTGGGCCTCTGCAGGTAACAGACATGCACACGGTACACAGACATATATGCAGACAAAACAGTCATACAATTTTTTTTTCAAGACGGGATTTCTCTATGTAGAGTTGGCTGTCCTAGACTCACTTTGTAGACCAGGAAGAATACTTTTTTTAAACAAATTAACACTTGGGAAGTAGAGGTAGGTGGTCACTGTGAGTTTCAGGCCAGCCTGATCTACAAAGCGAGTCCAGAAGAGCCAAGGCTACACAGAGAAACCCTGTCTCATAAAAATAAATTTTAAAAAAATTGACATACCAGGAAAAAAAAAAAAAAAAAGCAGGTGACAAAGTCTGGAAACATTCCCTCAGCTAGACTTCATAAATGAGTGGAGATGCTCAGGCCAGTGTGCTGAGGAGTCTTGAAGTCTTTTTGGATCACGTTTTTCGTTGCTGAGTAACCATGGCTGCCTTAGAACTCAAGCTGTAGATCAGGCTGTCCTGCAACTCAAGATCTGCCTGCCTCTGCCTTCCAAGTGCTAGGATTAAAGGCATGCATCACCATGCCCAGACATTTGTCTTTCTTAATAAATGGTCTCTATTTTTTATTTCTTTAAATATTTTTCAAAGATTTGTTTACTATGTATACAATGTTCTGCCTGCATGTTGCCTGCACGACAGCAGAGACCGCCAGATCTCATCGTAGATGGTTGTGAGCCACCATGTAGTTGCTGGGAATTGAACTTAGGACCTTTAGGAGGGCAGCCAGTGCTCTTAACCTCTGAGCCATCTCTCCAGTCCCCTCTAACTATGTGTCCCTGGTGCAATTTTCAGTCAGCCGGAAGGGAAGGTTGGGGGGGGACAAAAAAAATCAGGAGTCAGGCAACCTCTGAACTCAGATCTCTACCTATAACACCATCTCAGCCTGGCTTTGGGAGGAGGCAGCTCCCACCCAGACTGTGAGCCTCAGAGCATGAGGACTCCCAGGCCTACCTTTTCCAAGCAAGTTGCTTTGTGGCTGGAGTCCTACCTGGGAGTCGACAAGCAGGCCCAGCTTCTGCCTCACACGTCCTCCATACATGTCCACACACACAACACTGTTTGATTTGAGGCAAACCCTTTCCTCTCTCTGGGCTCCAGTTTCCCCATTCGTTATCCCATAGAAATGTCACACCACTCCCACTGTTCTGCCCAGCCTGCTTTCAAACTTCAGTGCCCCCTTCAGGAAAGAATGAAACAGGTGGAAGATCACCCCTGCAATCCCCATGTTCAGAAGGCTAAGGCAAGATGGTTGTTTATGAGTTCAAGCCCAGCCTGAGTTACATTATTTCAGGCTAGCCTGGTTTACAGAAGGATACCTATCTTAAAACAGAGAAAGGAGGTTGGCGAAAACACAACACAAGGCATGGAGGTTTCTCTTGCTGCAATTAAGCACCATCCATGATCAAAAAGCAAGTTGGGGAGGAAAGGGTTTGTCAGCTTAAACTTCCATATTGCTATTCATCATTGAAGGAAGTCAGGACAGGAACTCAGATCCTGTCCTGAACTCCAAGATCCTGGAGGCAGGAGCTGATGCAGAGGCCATCAGCTTACTGCTTACTGGCTTGCTTCCCGTGGCTTTCTCAGCCTGCCTTCTTATAGAACCCAGGACCACCAGCTCAGGGACGGCACCACCAACCATGGGCTGGACCCTCCCTCATCAGTCACTAATCAAAAAAATATCTTACGGCTGGATCT